AATTGTCTCTAGTTTCTCATTCTTTTTTTTTTTTGTTTTGTAACAGGGATCAAACTTGTGCTTGTGAAGCAGGCGGCGGAACCACTGAGCCAAATCCCCAACCCGAGTTTCTCATTCTTTATGGTTGAGTAGTACTCCATTTTATTTAAAATACACACACATACATATCTTTTTTTTTTTGTACCAGGGATAGAACTTGGGTCCTTGTGCTTGTAAAGCAGGCAGCAGAACCACTGAGCTAAATCCCCAGCCCTAAACCCACATCTTCTTTATCCAGTCTCCAGTTGATGAGCAAATGGGCTGTTTCTAAGATTTAGCTATTACAAACTGTGCCACTATAAACATGAATATATCACTGTGATATGTTTTTAATTCTTTCAGGAAGATACCAAGAAGGAGGATACCTGGGTCAAATGGAACTGCGAGTTTTGTTGTTGTTGCTTTTTGCAGTACTGGGGATCAAACTCAGGATCTTGTGCTTGTGAGGCAGGTGGTGATGCCAGTGAGCTAAATCCCCAGCCCTGTTTCCTCTAGTTTTAATTGTTTGAGGAATCTCCACACTGATTTCTGCAATGGTTGCACCAGTCTACACTCCCACCAACAGGGGAGAAGGGTTCCTTTTCCCCCACAGCCCCACGAGCATTTGTCATTGGTTGATTTCTTGATAGCAGCCATTCTTTCTGGAGATGGAATCTCAGCAATTGTTTTCATTTGCATTTCATGAGTGACTGGTGAGCATCTGATGTTTTAATTGACATGTCAAAGCAGGAGTAAAGAAGCTCTAACTAGGGCTCCCCTCCACCCTAATTATGACTGTAAATCTAGAGGAGAGTTTGCTTAACTATGATATCCAGGGTCACCCAAGATTTCTTGAAAGAGACAGAGATGTCCATGGACAAGGGCAATGCAGGCTGCCCTGGGCCCCTTCAGTCCTCTTCGGCAAAGTGGGAGGTGAGGGTTGTGGTCGGCCTCCAACCTCTCCTCCAGCACCCAATGCCCTTCAGCTGCCTCATACAGGGAGCAGTGCCTAGGTGGTAGCTTGGTACAATCATGTGCCCAGTGTCCAGCTTTCTTGCAGGTCTTGATTGATCCTGGATTTTTCCTTGGATGACTTGGGTGTGCTTAAAGAATTGCCCACGGGGATAGCCATAATTTTAATCTTTTTTTCCTCAGCCGTTTCCTTTCATCTTCATCTGATCCTGGTTGTTGAACACAGAAAAGGCCATGTCCAGCAATTGGGTGATATTTGAAAATACTGGGTCTCTCTACAGTGCTAGCCTCTGGTGGAAACAGGTAGGAGAGACCCAAAGTGAGTGTCTGAGGACAGGATTATTGAAGGTACAAATTTTTAGCCAAGTGTAGTGGTGCATGCCTGTAATCCCAGCACTTGGGAGGCTGAGGCAGGATGACTGCTATGAGTTCAAGGCCTGATTAAGCTACATAATTCAAGCCCACCCTAGAATACACAGCAAGACCCTGTTTTTTGTTTTTGTTTTGTGTTGTTTTAAGATTATTTTAAACTTTTAAGAAATTTTTTCTTTAGAGAGTCCTTTAAATACCATAGTTCTTGGGCCTTTATGGAGATAAAGTGCCATGAAATCCTACACACAAGGGATTTTACACAACTTTTCTTGCCTTTTGCAGAAAAGACCTAACTGGCAAAAAGTAACTGCTACTCTGTAGCCACCTCTCAACATTTCCTAGTTCATTCTAATGGCCAGGTCACTGGGATCTGCTGGGTGTTGCCCAGGGCACACCCTGGGGCCCACTGACTCCTTAGAGAGAAGGGTGGAGTCCCCAGGGGCTCCCTTAGCCATTCAAGAAACAGCATACTCCTAAGAGATCAGGGTGGAACCTCACTGGGAGGAGGTGCCTTAGAAACTATCTCACTGGACCAGATCAAAAGCCATAGTTCAGATATGGAAGCCATCAGCAAATTTTTCAGAGTCCTTGAAAAATTTACCCAGTTTTCTTTGTATTGCTGAATATCCATCCAAGAAGGGATTCAAACAGGGAGTCAGGAGGAATAGATGAAGTGTACCCTAAAATGGATTTTGTGGGCAGGAAGAATTGTGGGAAACCTAGCAGGCCCATCCCTGGGACACTCTTCAACTTGTCTATAGGACCTTATAGGGAATCTCTTCCATTCCTGAGCCTTTCAGCCCCAGGGTGTAACCTGATAGGGCTGAACTCATAGGGATTAGGTCACAGAAACTGTGTGGAAACTTTTCCTGGGTCAGCTCCTAAATGGAGAACCTTACAGGACATCCTCTAGGTCAGTCTCAGAACTGTCCAATTATCATCAGGGCCTCCCCTGGTAAAGCTGGGCTCCTTGGGGTGCAGAAGTATCTGGCTTTATGAGAACACTGGTGCCACTTTCTCTTGAACCTCTGGATCTCCTATGACGGAGTCTGGAGCTGGAGTGCTCTACTGGCTGGGTACCTCTTAGCCCATTATAACACCTCCTAATATCACAGTATGCCTGTCTAAAAAGGAGGAAGAGGTGCTTTTCCTCAGTAAAGCCCTAAAACCGTAATAATTTCCTGCATTTTTGTTAGATCAAGCCACAAAAGGAAACACATCTGGTAACAAAAGAAAACCTTGCAATGCAACAACTGCTGGTTACACATCTTATTAGATAGGAACATAAACTTGAGGTTATAGTTATCACAACAAAAGCAAAACCAAGTAGAATGGCGAAAGAGCTACTACTCTACTTTGCATACTCCCAGCCAATTGAGTTGACCTTTACATGCACATATTTCTAAATTACCTAAATTTCTGCTAGAAAAAAAAATAGGGAAGGGTTCTAACCAGATTCAGCAGAGAAGCAGGGATTTAGCTCATATGGTTTCTAAAACTGGAGGCTTTAGCAATTGTCATGGCTTGTGTATGTATGTCCCCCCAAAGCCTCATGCCATCATAGG